AAAACTGAAGATTAAAAATCATAAAAATCCCACAGACTTACACTGACGGAATTCAAATCTAAACACACTGAAGCCCATTAGCTAGCATGCTAATCATGCTAGAAACATGCTAGCGACATGCTAGTAACTTGCTAATCATGCTAGTCACTTTGCTAATCGTGTTATCAACATGTTAGCAACATGCTAGTAACTTGCTAATAATGCTAGAAACATGATAGTCACTTGTTAAACATTCTAACAACATGCTAGTACCATGTTAATCATGTTAAAAACATGCTAGCGACATGCTAGTAACTTGCTAATCATGCTAGCGACATGCTAGTCACTTGCTAGACATGCTAGCAACATGCTAACAACTTGCTAATCATGCTAGCGACATGCTAGTCACTTGCTAGACATGCTAGCAACATGCTAACAACTTGCTAATCATGCTAGCGACATGCTAGTCACTTGCTAGACATGCTAGCAACATGCTAACAACTTGCTAATCATGCTAGCGACATGCTAGTCACTTGCTAGACATGCTAGCAACATGCTAACAACTTGCTAATCATGCTAGCGACATGCTAGTCACTTGCTAGACATGCTAGCAACATGCTAACAACTTGCTAATCATGCTAGCGACATGCTAGTCACTTGCTAGACATGCTAGCAACATGCTAACAACTTGCTAATCATGCTAGCGACATGCTAGTAAATGGCTAATCATGCTAGCGACATGCTAGCCACTTGCTAATCATGCTAGCGACATGCTAGTAAAATGCTAATCATGCTAGGAACATGCTAACGATATGCTAGTAACTTACTAATCATGCTAGCGACATGCTAGTAGCATGCTAATCATGCTAGAAACATGCTAGTAACTTTTGCTAATCATGCTAGTAACTTGCTAATCATGGTAGCAACATACTAGTAACATGCTAATCATGCAAGAAACATGCTTGCGACATGTTAGTAACTTGCAAATCACGCTAGTGACATGTTGGTAGCATGCTAATCATGCTAGAAACATGCTAGTCACTTGTTAGTCATACTAGCAACATGCTAATCACTTGCTAATATTGCTAGCAACATGCTAGAAACATGCTAGCAACATGATAATAAATTGCTAATCATGACAGCAATATGCTAGTAACAGGCTAATCATGCTAGAAACAGGTTATCAACATCTAATCTATCTACATTTTCTAACATTTTACTAATATTTACTAACATTTAAAATTGTGTTTATAATATTCACATTCATAAAAAATGGTTTTGGTAATGTGTAAGAAACATTTATTTACAAATTACAAAAAATAATTTTTCTTTTTTTTTATTACATGTTTTAAATGTTAAATGTTTTATTTTATTTTTTAAACATTTAAAAAACAGTTTATAATATTCACATTTCATGAAAAACTATTGTTTAACAAAAGCTGTCACAGTTTCTTTAATGTTCTCATGTTTACTTTTTTGTAATGTGTGAGAAGTATTAATGCTGGATTTAAAAATAAAATCATATAAAATAAAGCTAAATATTTTAAAATTCACATTTCATGGAAAACAATTGTTGTTTCCAGCAAAAGTTTTGAGATATGTTTTTTAACGGTGTGATTTTTGGTTAACTGTACTAAACTGACCCAGAGCATCATGATCATACCCTGAATCTATCTGAACATGATATAAGGGTTACGCTGAACAACATGAATTAAAACTGCACACGCGCTCCAAAAACACTCCAAATGATGCATGCACAGTTCTCAAAGTTGTCCGTCTCGTGCATGTTTACACTGGAAAAGCATAGAAGAGCAATGCAAAGGTGCATTATGTGTGAACATCAGGTAAAAACACCACATGACGCATTAGAGCTTTTATCATGGCAGAGAATAAAATAAAGATGAGCTTGTGGAAATAAAGCCGTTCGTTGCACTAATTCCACCCAGCGGATATTTCTGATGTTTTATTGCTCAGAGAGAGAAAGAGCTCAGTGAAGCAGCGAATGCAAAGCAGCCCGACTGATTAATTCTGTCGAGGAGCATCAGCATTCAGACGGAGGAAAAACCAAACCGGTACGGCTCACTGACGGAACATTAACTATTAATTCCCTTTTAAAAAAGAGTCAGAGGAAGATGATGATGACGAAGAGGCTGAAGTGATGTGACTCTTCATCAAGTCTTAATGAGGCTCTGAATATTTGATGGCAGCGTGACCTCAGAGAGAGAGAGCGAGAGATGCTTGTGCATGTGCTGCTACTGATCAAATATTAACACGCAGAGAATTTAAACTAAATCTGATGCTGCAGAAAACATGTTGATAAACTCCGATTTTAAAGACCCTTAAAGGAATAATGAACTTTAGCTGTAATGTGTTCACCCTCAGTTCATCCGAGATGCAGGTGAGTTTGTTTCTTCATCAGGTTTATTATTAAATTATTTATTTTATTTTATTTTAATTATTGTACTTTTAATTTATTTTCAGTGAGTCATTGAGTCATGAAGAAAGAAAGAAAGAAAGAAAGACCTCTTTAATGGGAGAGGTCAGAGAAGAGGAACATGATGAGACGCTGTCATTGAGGGAAGATCCTGTAGAATCCTGAGCATGCTGCTGTCATCAGATGCTCATAAAGAAGAACACACACACATACATACACACTCTCACACACACTAACATACACACACACACAGATACACAGATACACACACACGCACACACACACACTCTCTCTCTCACACACA